ATGCCGCTGTTGCCCTGCATCCGTCAGCCTGTCCATCAGAGGAAGTTGCAATACATGTTAAGTTACCTTGAGTTATTGATTTCTACAGCTGCTCTGTTTCTTTACTCCCAGTGTGTATCTGCACCGGATAACTCACATGACTGTTACACAAAAGTTATACAACTCTGAGGGGCTGATATAGACTAGATGCAAATACTTGTGAAAAAACTGATGCATCTCAAGTTGGGAAACCAGCAGCACCATTATGATAAATGATGTAAGTGTAGTGTTAATTACATTAAGGTGCTACTTTCCTACAAAAGACACTCTGCTGCTTTGACATGATTCCCTCTGTCCGTCTGAGTTACGGGAACTACCACAAAGGGGGTTTTGAGTACTATGCAAGTTGTTTTTATATCTGTGGACAGATTTCGTCAACACACACATTAACAACAGTAACACACAAACACACAGAGTTCACTGTTTTTGATATTTTCTTGTGAATTATTTCTTTAACTTTTTTTTCTTTTAATTTCTTAATGGTTCCGCAATATTGTTTTTGTTACACTACTACTGCCAATAAAGTATATTGAACTGAATTGAATTATTTAATGGCCTTCACATCACAGCATGTCTAATAAGAGATCTGATTAGATTTTGGTTGGCATATGCTGACTGGATCCTTTTTATGACCAGGACAGGGGAGAGCAGAAGATAACAGCAGAGATGAGGAGTGTGACAGACAGATGAAACACCATAAGAGCTACTAGAGAGGTGAAGAAGAGGAGGGTATCAGATAGACAGACAAGTTAACACAGTTTGTCACAGTTTAAATTTGTCACAGTTCAAAAGGGAGCACTCATCGCACAATAGAAGCAGAAGCTAGGAGACCAGGGTTTTCACAAGCATTAGGAAGATACATCAATGTCTTATTTTCTCTTTTTACTCTTGCTACTGGAAATAAAAATTATAATAAAATTGAATGAGAACTCAGATGGCTGCAGAAGAATAGGTGGCACCCACTGTGCCCAGGAAACGGCCCAAAAACCATTATTCCCCTCATTGGAAAAATGAACAGCTGTTTCATTGTTTGCAATGTTTTGAAATGACTTGTTTTATTATTAGAATGTGTCCAATAACATTTGGAAAGTCTGGAGGAGCAGAATAATTAAAATGATTTTATTGCATTTGTGTGTGTGGAGAACCAACAAAAAGTTAGCCAGCTTGCTCAGCAGACTTCTACAACATACATACTCAACTAGCGTGGCTGGAAAAGGACTCTAGTGCACATGTTGTATGTGCCCAAAAACACAGAAGCGCAAGTAAGCCATTATTTTCAGTGTGTATGCGTCCAGTAAGCATTTTTTATATGAATAGGGCTCGATCTTTGAACGTGGTATCCAGTTCTTAATACACCTATGGCCCATACAACAACATTGCTCTAGGTCCACCAGGACAAGACGTGTCCTGTGACTAAGCTCGCATTAGGGTTAAAAAGCGTCTATGCTGGCAATGATAACCATCTTACAGTTTAAGTAACTTTAGCATTGTTGGCATGGATCTGGGAAAGTAGCCTACAGGTGCCTTTGTGTATCTCCGCTTGTCCAAGTAACAAAAAAAAACAAAAACGAAAAACTGCCCCCTAGAACAACACAGAAGCATTTTCTGATCTGATGCCATATTGGCAGGATGGCATAATTTGCCTGTGCCTTCCAAAATCACACAAAAAGGGAAAATATAATGTTTGGGTTAAAATAAGTACTTGGTTATGGTTGTGGGACTTCTATGCCATGGTTACAATAATAACCAGTTAGTTAAAATTAGAAAAGGATTGTGGTCATGGTTAAAAGAAATCAAGACTGACTGTTTGTAGGAAATCTCATCATCTCCTCTTTCTAGAAGTCCCTCAAATGCATCCCGCACATTGACGGTATATATATAATGGACAGAGCTTCTGGGTCTGTAAAGTGAAGCCAACTCCAAGTGTCTTAAAATCTGCATTCTATGTAAAGTCTGAAAGGGGGAGCTCCATTGCCATAAAAAATACCATGCACCATGTACTCTACTGGAGAAATTACCAGACTTCTCACTTTATTTATTAGCTTAGGTTTATGGTCTCAATGGCTAGTTTCAAGTCTTCCATACAGTATGTTCATTTAGTAAATGATGTTCCAATTTAGAGTAAAAAAGACGATAAAGCCGCATATGCTTTTGGGCATGGCTACCTTGTGAATGACAAGTAATACTCAGGGAGTCCGTCCAGCACACCGCATGAAACTCAGATCAGTTGATCATCTGTTGATGAAGCAAGATGCAGTTGCATATTTCTCACCTAAAATCGTTTCAGAAACATATTTTAGATGTCATGTTTAGCTGTAATACGAGATTGTGTGTGACCAGGCGAGCCGCCATTGTTTCCTGCGATAGACGAAACTGGGTAGCTCAACTCGCAGTACGTCACCTCCGCTGGCTCGGACTAATTGTCAGGGCAACGGCCAAAACGCCAGACTTGAGGCTTCAAAACGGTACTCCACAAACCAATGGGTGACGTCAAAATAGTTTTACACTTGATCCGAATCCTGTCGTTGTTGATTGGCCATTCAAAGGGTTGTTTAACTAGCTGTAACTGCAGCCAAGGAGAACAAGGTGCAGTGCAATAATCAAAGGATGTTTGATAAAGGATGCCTTTATTTTTATTGAACTCTGGGCCATTTAGAAGGGATGCTTTCATGTCAGTGGCAGCAGTTTGGACCACCAAGTTTGAAGTCGCCTGTCTTTAAGTGATGTTAATGAGGAACACTGATACCCGTGTAATATCTACTAAATATTGTTTTGATCTAGCATTTTGTGTTTGGGCTCATATTCGTGTCCATTTATCTGGTTATCAC